CATCATCATCATCATCATCATCATCATCATCATCATCATCACGCTTTGCACCTTTGTTGGGACCTTCCCGTACAGATGACCAAATCACCCCATCGACAAAGGCGGTCGTCCGAGGTTCCTCCCACTCTTCCGGCCGACGACGATCGAAAGCGTCGTCGAATGGTGCGTTCTCACGGTGGATGCCCTGTGACTCGATGCCCTGTCGGTCCCCCTTTGGTCCGCCTGGTCTCCACCCCGCGAAGAAAACACAAGGAAAAGCCCTGGACAAGTCCGCTGCTGAGGATGCCTTCCTGGCTGATGACTTCGCCTTGGGTGTGGTGGTGTTTGCGATGGCCGTACAAGACTATCCCTGGACTTCGACTAAGAAAGGCCGGAGGTCCAACAGCTGGGATATTTTGGAAAAAGACTCCGTGTGTGGTTTTGGGATTTGCAAGCGCAAGTGCAAGAGAAAGACTGAACACAAGTAAGGGCTTCAAGGGGTTGGGATGGGGTGAACCTAATGGTTCCGTGTCCACGTCTTGGAGCCTTAGGGTACCAACACCACGTCAGATAGAGGATATCCCGCGAGGTGTATGGTGTTGTGTGACTCTGAAGCAAGGTGCTGCTTCTCACTTGAGTACTTGAACCAAACCTTGGTTCAAAAACGAGCTTGGAGCGGTACGGATCCTGCCCAAACCTATGCCCTGGCCGCTGTGACCACAAAAACCCATGGGCACCGGAGTTTGGATCACAGACCTCATGATCCTCATGATCCATCCAAGTAGCTCTTTAGAGTCAGAACTTGATATAACTAAATTAGTAACAAATCCAGTCGCATGGGCCCTGGTCTATGACTCCTTAGACTCATGCTCTCAAGCCTCCCATGGACGGTCCGGGCACCCGACCAGGCACCTGCCAGCTCTTCGTTGCTCGGCTCAGCTGAGGGGGGATTGAGATTTTTTCAGAACTTGTTCCATCTTTTTCGCACAGTTACAGGATTGTTCCTTTTGGTTGCTGGAAAGCCAGTGAACCATCAGGTGAACTCCAGAATAAGAACGCACTTGGGCACATTTCCTGTATGCCGCCCTTTCTTATCTTTTGAGTTCTTCGTCTTTGGAAACCGTGCAGGGTCACGATGCCACGCACCACGACTCCAAAGCAAATGGCTGAAATGGCTTGGCTGACCCTTGTGCCCTATGGATTCTCATACCTTCAGGGTGATGTGTTCGATACTTTGATGCGCCAGGGTTGGGTCCAAACCACCTTTGAAATCCCTGCGACTTCGTCGTCGAAAGTGAAAAGCCATCGCGTCCGTCGTCCAGTGTCGCTTCCAGGGGTTCCCCGGACAGCTCACCTCTGACGCCCACTGACGCAAACCCTTCCAGTGGATGGATGGGTCGTTGATCCGACGATGGGTGCACTAGTGGATGGGTCGCTGATCTGACGCCTGAACCAAACATTCCGAGGTGCGCCATAGACTCGGTGGGTGCCTTTTGAACAACGCGCTTTCTTTCTTCATTCGCGCGTTCTTCACCAGAAAGACGCGCCAGCTTCGGCCTCTGAGGACTACATTTCCACCTTCGGCCTCTTGAAGTTCTTGAGAAAGAGGAAGCTCCGAAAAGGCACCGAACACCTCTCAGAGGTCATGAGTGCCGAGCCTCGGAGAACGAAGACGACAGACGCAACGGGGAAAACCCGAGTATCCGGGAGTGAAGACCAAGCTTTTCTCCAATCCTCACTTATCATGCTTCTCACCTATCATGCTTTTCTCTGGATTGGAGATAGATGAGGATTGGAGACTTTTGAGACTTCTAAGATGAGACGCGTGTGGATCAGCTGCTTTTGGGGCCGCTGTCCTTGACTTCTGGTCGCCACCGACTGTGCAGGCCCTGGTGAAGCTAAGAACATGGGTGGATTGGTCCGGAGGGGGTAGAACCGGGTAGAACTGACCGTCGAACCGGTGATGCAACCGGTGCACCGGTTCGGTTCCTTTTGGATGCTCGGTTCGGTGGACACCAGAATCCCAGACGATGGGACTGGCCGATTGGACGTGGAAAAGGGGGCCTTTCTGGGGCGGCATCAACTTTTAGTCCCACGGATGGTCTGAACACGGCATTTTGGCCATGAAAGTTTGCCTCGTTTGCAGGGAAACCGTTGGAGAGGATGGACGAAGCAGTTCGATGGAGAACACGGATGGACGAAGATCTCATTGCACCAGAGATGTGAAGGTGTAGCGCTGGTGAAGCCTGGTAGCGCTGCGGTTGGTGAACATGTCCCCTGAATTTGTAATGGCTGCCCGGCTGCCTGTCATGGTCTTGTTCGGTGGGGCATGTGAGAGGGGCAAGCGTTCTGGTTCCATTTGCAGCTGGGTGTCAAGCCGGTGGTAGGATCTGCACAGCAATCACAATGTTGTGAAGTACAGAAAGGAGGCAGAAGATTTTGGCTAACAACGGGGACAGTTCGAGCCAAGATGCTTGCCATGCTTTATCCACATAAGGCAACACCTCCGTCATCGGGCTTTGCTTAGGATTGGTGACCAAGTGGGAGACACATCCATGCTTCGCCATGCTTCGCCATGCTTCGCGATGCTTCGATCAGTCCTGCCGGCCTCTTAGGAACTCATTCAGATGGTGGACGCCATGCTCCAGTTTGATATCAACAGCCGCCTTTGTTTAGGAGCCTTTGGAAGTCGGGTTCCGGGGCATGACGCATGGAGGCATGGGAGCTGATTCAGTGACGCCACGCCATCCAACTCTACCATTTGAGGGTGGTGCAGGTAGACTGTTGATTATATTTCAACTCCACACCCCACAGAGGCCAAATGAGCGGCAGCCAGGGGTTTTAACAAATATATATATATAATATTATATTGAATGTACTGTAGACAGAAGTTTTACAAGCCAAATGAGGGGGCACGAATTGACTTCATCTACATTCGGGCACATGATCGAAGTCTTGGAATGATGCTGACTTACTATGGCCCCGTTAACAAGAGAAGACCACTATCACTGACTCACTCTCCGGGTCTATGCTTCTGTGATTTGGGGTTGGTGGGACTTGCCAGCCGAAGGTGATGGAGGTTCTCCCTGCTCTAAGCATCTCAGCATACTGCTTTGAGTCATGGAGTCGCAGGAATTAGGCTGAACCTCTCACCATGCCTCTCACTCCGTTGGAAAAGGTTCGTGTTTTTTCGGAACACAGCTCTTCGTCCTTCACGGTGGGTGGACGCCACCGCCCCGCGCCCGACCGAGATCTTCGTCCGGTTTGGTCGCACGTCGCGCGAGGAGAGGGCTGCTTCGGCACCCGTGGCAGTGTTTGGGACCAGCCATGGATCCAACCTTTCAAGACCAGCTAAGCCCAAAACTGACGGCGGCGAAAGTATGGCCGACCGGACCCAGACCAGACGGACCGAAAGTCGCGCGAAAGGAATTCCCAAGTTGCAAGGATCAATCTGGTATGTATGAGTATGCATTCCATATTTATTCCATATGCATCCCTAAAATAAGCGGAAGCCTTGGGCTCCACAAATAAAATACTTTAAAGTATCTTAAAGTATTAACAGTAAACTAGACTATACTCGACTGTGGCCTATAGTCTAGTATAATCTAGTAAATTCAGGCGGCAAGACATATTTGGGCATGCCATATATATATATATATATTATAGTTATATGTCGGTGCTTCGATATATGGACAAATACAACAATATAATTCTGCAAAATTTTGAAGCTGTTTAGACGGACCTATATATTTGCTCTCAGACGTCTTGGGCCTGTAAACATAGCCTTGTGAGCCATCATCAAGCAATGAGCAACTGACCGAAGTTTTCACTTGGCTCCCACCCAAAAGTCTCCAAGACATATCCATGGGTCAGTGGGTTCAGATAGCACAAGCTACTTTGTCGCAGTCTACGGGGTCCAAATACCATCACTACACATGTTTTTTGGTGGGATGACTAGCCGGGAGCCCCTTGGTTGACACATGGATATTCTGGATATGAAGCCCGAGCCCGAAGATCGATTGAGATGCCATGACCAGAAGTCACCGATCGAGGGATGTTGTGGAGCTGAGTCTTCTGAAACGCAGATGGACGGACGTTTGGATGTCCTGGAAGGCCAGGTTTCATGTGGGTGTGGACACAGCTTTGGCCGACAGCGGCCGACACGGCTGATCCAGCCGACCAAAAAGAGATTTCCATCGTACCCTTTCTGCTTGAAGAATGGGACACGCCCCTTTCAACAGTTCCTTGCATTGATGCAAGACATATAGCTTTTTGAAAATCTCCTGCAGCTGTTCAGATCCCAACGGCCCATGACCGCCCAGCGAAAGGAGCACACGCCGTGCGTGGCGTGCGGTTCTGCGGTCAGGTGATTCATCCGATCCATGGAAGCCATCTTCGCAATGCCCCGGACACTCTGTCAGATTGGCATATATATATATACCATCTAGAAGCTAGAAGTGTAAAGACTATTTTCTGACCACCAAGGTTTTCAGGACATGTGCTTTTTCACAGGGCAAAACAGATCCACTGATCCACCGATCCCTGTTCCACAGACCAGCATGGGCCGCAAGGCCGCCATGGGCCACATGGGCCTTTGGGGATCGGTAGCTGAACAGGCTGAACATCTGATACAAACGAAAGAACAGAGACTCTCCAATGCACCAAACAACGGAAAGGCGTTGAATGTCACGCACGCGAAGCACAGCATGTGGATGAAATGCGAATCCACATGCAGGTTGATCATTTGAAACACATGAGTAGGCAGAGCACAATGGGATTCGAGATGACAACACCAAGATTCAACAATTACGTGACAAAGACAATCTTATATTAGCATTGCTGCATTGTAGATCATTCTAGTACACTTGTCTAAGCGTGTCTGCATTTTTCCATGATAGATCATCGTTCTGGAGATTGTCAGAAGTTTTTCCTGGTACGAAGACCAGTGATTCGGGGACGTTCCTTGGGGAGAGTTCTTTTTCCCCACCTGCCAGGTGAGGGTTGTTAGATTTTATCACAGCTGTTCTTCCTCCACCTCCGCCTCCGCCTCCGCCTCCGCCTCCGCCTCCGCCTCCGCCGCCTCCTCGTCCTCCTCCTTCCTCCTTCCTCCTTGCTTCCTTCCTCGCCAATCTGCTTCGCCGATCTTGTCTGGCCAGCTCCGGATCGCAGTGTGCACCCCTGGACCTCAACCGCAAGGATCCCCTCGCAGTGTGCACCCCTGGACCTCAACCGCAAGGATCCGATCGCAGTGTGCATCCCTGGACCTCAACCGCAAGGATCCGATCGCAGTGTGCACGCCTGGACCTCAACCGCAAGGATCCGATCGCAGTGTGCACCGCTGGACCTCAACCGCAAGGATCCGATCGCAGTGTGCACCGCTGGACCTCAACCGCAAGGATCCGATCGCAGTGTGCACCGCTGGACCTCAACCAGATAGTTTGTCAGATAAAATCCACAAACACACAATCACAAACACACGACCACAAACGCGCAACCACAAACACACAACCACAAGCACAATGACAAACCCACAATCACAAACACAATCACAAACACACAACTACAAACACAACTACAAAGACACAATCACAAACACATACCACAAACACAAAACCACAAACACACAACCACAACCACACAACCACAAACACGCAATCACAAACACAATCACAAACACACTCACAAATACAATCACAAACACGCAACTACAAATACAATCACAAACACACAACTACAAACACAACTACAAAGACACAATCACAAACACACAACCACAAACATACACACAACACACAACCACAAACACACACACACAAACACACAACCACAAACACACAACGACAAACACACAACCACAAACACACAACCACAAACACACAAACACACAACCACAAACACAACCACAAACACATCCACAAACACAACCACAAACACACAACCACAACCACAAGTACAAACACACAATCACAAAGACACAACCACAACCACAACCACAACTACAAACACATAATCACAACCACTACCACAAACACAACCACAAACACATCCACAAGCACAACTACAAACACACAATCACAAAGACACAACCACAACCACAACTACAAACACACAATCACAAAGACACAACCACAACCACAACTACAAACACACAATCACAAAGACACAACCGCAACCACAACCACAACTACAAACACACAATCACAACCACTACCACAACCACAAACACACAACCACAAACACACAACCACAAACACACAACCACAACCACAACCACAACCACAACACAGCACACAACCACAGCACACAACCCGAGGACCCACAAGCAACATCGAGAACTACAATACTAACGACTATGGCAGCATGCTCCTCACTATGGCATCAAGACAAACGATTGAAGTGTCATGGTGGGGATCACTCGAAGTAAAGTAATTTGTTTTTTTTTCCGATTTGCGAGTTTCACAATTGGAAATGTGGCTCAAATCTGTCCAAGATGTTCATTTTGTCCGGGGCCCGTTGTTGTGGATTTGGCTGCCTCTGAGATGTACTTGTAGAATCTTGTAGATATGACCTGGGTAGAGCTTGCAAACATACCTCAAGCCAACAAAGCACAGCAAGGTCTTGCATCTGAGATACCAGAATCTTAAGACATGATTCTTGCATTGGGACCTTCTCCAACAACAACAACAACCCACAAAAGCACAAGGGATTGACGGAATGTCCCCCCACAAAACCACGTTTCTTTTCTTTCTTGATCCCTCCTCTCTCAACTGGAAACAAACACATGCTAGTGAGTTGTGACAAATCAATGATGGATGTGCAGAAGACCTCTCCCAGACATTCCATGGGACTGGAATGTGTATATATATGTATATAATATGTATGTATTTATGTATGTATGTATGGGAATTCTGCAACAATATCAAAAGAAGGAACACCACACTCTCAAAGAACCACAGAGAATCTCTCTGACGCCGATCAACCGAAAGCGCTCGAGAGCTAAAGAGCTGAAGAGACGCACCAGTTACGGGATCGCGTGCGGCGCCGCTTGGAGATCATAGTTCAGACGTGACACACACAAGGAACACATTTACCACGAAACATCTCTCAATCTTACTGAGAGGTCATCGCTTTTTGTAGAACACTTTTTGTTTGTGAGAGCTGTCTACTCTCCTGGCTTTCTCATTAAGCAGCTCCCCAAAATGTTGGTTGTGAGGGGAAGGACAGAGCGAAGTAGAGCCTGAGACTGAATTGCCGGGACGCATTTACCATCTAGCCTGGAAAGATTGAATACTAAACATGACACAAGCAGTTGTGCAAAAGAGCTATGTCGCTTGTGGCCCGCCTACTTTCCTGTTTTCCATCCTGGATAGATGCGTTAGCTCACGTTCCAAGACCATGTGATCAAGAGGGAAGTGACTATAGGGGCTGGGCCGGGGCGTCTGATCTAGAGCCATTCACGATATCGTAGAGGTATGAAGGGCGTCGTGTTCGTTCCTTTTGTGGTTTGAGGAACAAGTCTCCAACCTGCCCAGCACTAAACGAGAACAGGCGCACAGTACGGCTAACCTTTATTTTCGAGGGAAACGATTTGGGAGTGAGCCAATGACATGTTTTGCACAAGTCAATTACCTGCACCAGTGACTCGAAAGAAGCACCACTCAGTTGAAAAAGCTTGTGAACGGCGCTCTTTTTAAAGCCAGTCTGCTGTGTGTCCGTTAGTCGTCACTGGACTCGAAACAGAGGCCCAGGGCCGCTGAACTGCCCAGGGTGTTGCTTGAAAAGGGGATGGAAGAGTCAAGTTGAACCAAGACTTCGAGACCGACCTGCCCAACGGGGAGTCGTCACCGGGGGTGTTTTCACGGCCGATGGCCGTGTATGGCCCTCACCCAGTCTTCCCAAGCAGTGGATAGTTGAAGCTTTTCTCGTACTAAACCAGTGGAGTAGCTCAGTTCTTGAACCATGGTATGTGTACTAACAAGACTCCCTCACTGGTGAGGGTCTACGGCCTCTAGGTGGGCCCTGTCCCCCTTGTACTTGCCTTGTTCACAGGTGCACTGTATCCTCCCCATGGTATTCTATACCTGCTGTAGATGGCATTGTACCATTGGTTGATTGATTCATGGAGGGGATATCCCCAAGTGAACAACCGATATAGGTATTATATGAACAACCGATAGATATCAAATCGATCCTTTTATTATTCCCAAGAGGACACCATCACTGATTCCAAAAGGTCTCCCTAGCAAAGCTACCTCATGAGCGACCCCTCGCGTAGCTACCTCGGGAAGCTTCGCGAGTGCAAGTCCAGTATTGTGTCCGCGCGGCCCTGTGGCTTGCACGAACAAGGAATTTTATATTGACTCCCTGAGAGGGCTGAAAGGGTGCCCAGGCTGGATCATGGGCTTGAACTCCGGGCTTCGTCATGG